GGTTGGGGTTCAGACAGAGCACTTCAAGCTAAAAGAGAACAGTTTAATGGTACCATAAATACTGTGTTTAATCACTTCTTTTGCGAACAAACCCTGTACTAGACCTTATAAAGCATCTTCTCCATACTTCTGGTGGAGTTTTGGAAGATGCAAGTTGACCTTTTATTGTTTAGTTTATGTATGAATTTTTAGTTGCACTAATATTCTAACTCTCCTTCTAGCTAATCATTTGTATTTTGAGTAAACATGTATGTATGATGAAACTAACACCAGCTTCCCTAGCGGTGATTTACATATACTATAAACTGTTAATGTTTACTATTATTCCGAAGGGGAATGAAATGTAACCAGGGGCAGTCAGAAACTTCTGTTTCTCTTCACCCCACTACATAATTAGAATTAAGTGGCTGGGGCTTTTAAGAATTAAATGCTTACATGAGTGAAGGTGTTAACTGATAATTTTCCTAGTGACGAGTTCACAAGCTGAGGGAAGAGCTGCGAGGAGAAGAAGAGAGTGAAGGAGAGTTTAGCTGAGTTGAGTGTTGACTACGGAAGTTTTCTTTCTTTCGGCGAGACCTGTGCATCGGATGACCACGTGGCGTCAGGCGTTGTAGAGCAGAGCAGGGAGATGCAGATCGAGTACGCCCGTTGTTGACTGAAATGTTGAGATTAAACTGATTAAAGAATATTGGCTAGCAATTTAGGGTGATGATTTTAATATTTAAACATTAGCAGAGAACTATAGTGATACATTTAACCCGAGATGGTCCTTTTCAGGGCTGGGATGAGGGATCTAAAGCATAAGGAAAACTTTTGATGTGGGGGGAAACGGAAATACCCCAAGAAAACCCACTTTCACTGCCAGGGCGCCGAATAAAATACTCTGACCGTGCCAGGAAAATGCTGTGGAAAAAATACATATTATTAGTTTTCTTGGGTCGAATTTAATGTAGCTACTGGTGATGCTTGAAGACTAGAACAGGTTGGCTGGGTGAAGAGGCGACGTGATTGATTAGTCGACGGCGGAACGGTGTCTTGTGTAACGGGATAGTGCTAAGTGATGTGGGGACTTCGGTTAGTAGTGCTTCTGAAGTTTTTAAAGTGGATCTTGCCAATCTCTTGGAGTCTGTATCGTTGTGGTCATCAGTCTGGATTCTTCGATCCTTTTTGGCAATCCTGGTGTATAAGAAAGAGGCTGTCCGTAGAAGTAGAGGCGTCGCACATGGTTGCTAGAGGTGACACGATTTGTGTCTGCCGTGAAGTTATCAGGAGGCTGGTTGTTTGAGTGCTAGAGTTTATTTTCACAGTTGTTTTACTAGGAGGTGGTAGGCGGTTCTGTCTCGGGAGCGGGTGAGGCGGCAAGAACAGGATACTGTCGATTTTGATGTGTGGTGGGCTTCAAAGATCTGGTTATGACGTCGCCGTTTCTTGTGATTAGGCGTCTTCTTGATCTTTCGGCTGTGGAGTGGAAGAAGTAGTAAGATAGTCTGTGAGTTAGAAGATATTGTTCTGTAGTTTTAGAATCTGTGACTATTTTGATGAATCCAGCCGGTTGGCCTGTGATTCTTGATTTGATTCTGTGCACTGCATGGATATTGAAGTTAGGTATGGCAAGGAGGCTATACTTGATGTCTTCAGGGGAAATAGACAGATCAACATTTCTCAGGAACACAGAAAAAAGTTGAGCATTACTTCGAGGCGGTTACTGGAGGGTTAGAGTTCCATGGGGCACATAGATAATCTGAGTCTTCAGGGGTGAGGGGTTGAATAAAGATTCCTCCCCTTCTTAATAGTTTCGTCTTGGACGGGTCGATAGCGGCGTTGGGTTTGTATTTTCTTAGGAAAATATTTAATATTTAAATGTCACCTCTAAGTAATAGTATAGTACAAGTACAATGTTGTACTAATTACCTAGGATATTCAGTAAAGACTGGAAATTTGTCTCTGTCTTATATTTTGATCCAGTTTTTCTAGATATCAATATCTGAGTGAACAAGCATGCTGGCCCCGCAACCAAATCGACTTCCATTAGTAACACCAAAGCTTTTGTCTGACACTTCAAGCAAATCGACTTCCATTAGTAACACCAAAGCTTTTGTCTGACACTTCAACCAAATCGACTTCCATTAGTAACACCAAAGCTTTTGTCTGACACTTCAACCAAATCGACTTCCATTAGTAACACCAAAGCTTTTGTCTGACACTTCAACCAAATCGACTTCCATTAGTAACACCAAAACTTTTGTCTGACACTTCAACCAAATCGACTTCCATTAGTAACACCAAAGCTTTTGTCTGATACTTCAAGCAAATCGACTTCCACTGGTGACACCATTACTCTGTCTGAACACCAACCAAATCGACTTCCACTGGTGACACCAGTACTCTGTCTGAACACCAACCAACTCGAATTCTACAAGTGACACCAATTTAGGAAAGGAGTTCTTTGAAATATTGTCAACTCTTCGTGTGTGCTTTATTACTAATAGGTTGAAAAACATATTTAAAAGAAGGTAAATCTTCGTACAGAAAAATACACGATTTTATGATATTGTTGCGTCAGCGAGTCACATGACCACGTGACGCAACGTTTCTAGAATTATCATGTACTTTGTCGAATGTTCAAGGTCTTACTAGAAATAGGTTACGCTGGTATATAAAAGATGGGAATGTAATGTGTGGGTAGACAGTGAGTAATTGAACTGCAGTCACAGGGTATCGTTGAAGTTAACGTTCGTTCGCTCGTGATACTGTTTGTTTTAGCGCGAGTATTGAGATTAAGTGTATCGCAGAGTTATATTCGGAAAGAATAAACCAGTTTTATTAAGTAAAGACTTGTGTCGTTAAAATTTCCTCGGAACGAAGCAGGCCAAGTAGACGGTACATAAATGTGTGTGTGTGTGAAGACCCGTCATATTTCAGGCCAAGTAGACGGTACATAAATGTGTGTGTGTGAAGACCCGTCACATTTCAGGCTAAGTAGACGGCACACAAGTGTGTATGTGTGAAGACCAGTCACAGTTCAGGCCAAGTAGACGGTACACAAATGTGTGTGTGTGTATAAAGTTGTCTCACATCCAAATATTTATCATATTCATAAATAGAAATTGTCAGAAAGTAAACTAAAAACAGATGCAGAAGTACTTCATGAAGCCGATAAATATATGAAATAAAAACGTGTTATTTGAAATGTATTCAATTGATTTGTGAAATAATATTACAATAACCATAGCAATATATAAAATTCTAAAAATACGATATATTTTTCTTAAAAAACATTATCTTTATATATTTTGTATATTGGAAAAGTCTACTTTTTACATGCTTTGTATATTGTAAAAGTCTACATTTTACATGCTGTGTATATTGTAAAAGGCTACATTTTACATGCTTTGTATATTGTAAAAGGCTACATTTTACATGCTATGGTACAGTAAGAAAAGACGGTTAGTAAAGGTTTTTTTACTATTATTTTAAATCCTTGCACAATTAGAAAACGTGCATACCCTACACACTGTAATGTGTTATGTCCATAATACAGGTCTGACCTATGTTATGGAAGATTATTTCGGTCTGAGCATCGTATTGTTGTATATTTACTCTGCTGTATATATACAA